GCAGCACCTCTCTTGCTGTTAATTTCACTAGCAGTTCCAAGGGGAGAAAGATGGGCAGTCTCGTCTTGTGTGTTTTACAGACTTCCAAAATCCTATCTTCAAGCGGTGGTTAAAGTGACTAACTGCCAAGACCTGGAGGTTCAAACCCGCCAGCTGCAGGTTTGGACCCACCAGCTGTTTCACAGGAGAAACATGTAGCAATCTATTTCCTTAAAGATAGAAAACTCAAATTCACAGCTGTCGAGCTAGAACCAGCTCACAGCTGATCTTCTGGTGGTTTTCAGAAGATGTCAAATCGGATGGAAGAAGACTGTCCATCTCTTTCTCAAGAAGTAGGTAGATTTGAACAGCCTATGGGTTGGTAGCACAACTCCTTTTCTACTTGAGGGGATAAATATGTGCCAGCCTGCATTGTTAAAGATATAGAGCCTTGGAAACCTTAATAGGCAACTCTACTCTGCAACTGAGGGTCTCCAAACACTCTACAGTCCAGTTAGGTAAGATAAACCAGTAAACTGTATATTCCATTATCATTTTCATGATACCATGAGGGTAGGAAAAAAGAGAAAGAAACTAAACCAATAATAACCTTACACAACTTGTTATAAGGATAATTTATCAAAATAGAGTTCAAAATTCAAGATCATAGTATAATTTAAAAGTTCATAAAAGAAAAGCTAAAATTAGAATTTAGAGGTGAACTTTTCATAATGTAACTATTTTTATTAGTAGCAACCAATGCACTGTAACCATACATGTTAGCACTTTGACTTGCATGAGTAGTAGTACATGGTCAAACTAACTTGAGCAGGCACACAAAAGGAGCAGTAGGGTGGTACCATGAGAACCACTGTGGACTCCCACCAGAATCTCCTCTGGTTTGGCCCCACCCAGGCAAGTTCATCACCTTAAAAACTAGAGCAGTAGAAGAGACAGACCATGTGATTCTGAGTCAGCTGCTCCTCATGCTTTAATTCAATTTTCTACCACTTAGTGGCTGTTATCTTGGGCCATTAAGGATAATTATTATGTTCCAGTAACAAGTGAAGTCAATAAATGTACATCAAGAACTAGAAAGTATCATTCAAATGTACTTTTATTTAACAGTAATAATAATATTAAACTGTGCCACTTAAAACAAAGGCAAAACTAACTTTCATCTAATAATTATACTTTGTACCTTCCACCTATGGCTCGTAGCACTAATTATACAGAATGTCAAATGCAACCTAGAACAAATCATCTTTTTATACTTGAAAAACAAGTACAACAAGCCTAGTTTGCCCCAGCCATCCTGACTTCTTGGCAAGTAGCTGAATTAAAGAATCTCAATTACCTAATTTTTAATATTTAAATACATATTCTTCCTAATGATTTCATGCCCTAGGGTACATATTTTTAGGAGGTGAAATAATAAAGGCACCTAACTCAAGATGTAAATGCAATTATACCCACCAATTTTGAGAAGACCTTATATTGTGATCAAGCAGAATATTTTCCCTTACGTCTCACTTGTTTCCTTTTACATGGTATTATAAGGCATATTACTATAAAAGTACTTTAAAAAATTACATTAAGTCTATTTATCATGGAAATCTTTACAGGTACGAAACTACAGAATTAATCAAAGAGAGAAATTATAAAGCCAAATCAATTGACTTCCAGTTATGTAAAAAATGGTAAATTTAATGCTGGATTAGGTTAACCAAAATTTTAAAATATCTTATTTTCTTCTTTCATTAAAATCAATCAAGTACTATTTTCACAATTAATAATTTTACAGCATCACACTAACCAAAGGAAAATCATTTAAACTATGTAAAATATAAAAGTGAAAATAATTTCAACATTCAAATTCCAATATCTGGAAACAATTAACTTTTACAGCTAGGTATTTATAAAATTATTTAGTATTCTAAGACTACAACACATACATAATTTTATTATTTTAGAGAAATTATATTAAAAAAACTCTAGTCAATTTAAAATAATTCTTATACGCACAATATACTGTTGTTGAGTCAGCTATGACTCATAGTAACCTTATGTGCAAATAGAACAAAATCAGACATTAAAATGAAATATAATTTGTAAATTTTGTCCTTCCTTACACAAGATGCATTGCTCTGTGCTAAGAGGAGTTCTAGTAATTTGTAGCACTGATTGATTGAGCCCACTAAAAGACCAACATACTAATTTTATTAAGACGTTTTTACAGGGAGAACAATGCTCTCAGGGCAGTTTGAAAGGAAGCATCACTACTAGATAAAGAAGGGATGTATTTTTAGGAGCGAAGAGTTTAAGGAATTGGCAAAAACAGCTTCTTTCTTGTCAGATCATTAGCATTTCCTCATCAACTTTATATTCCACAGGTAAAAACAGTCATAACAAAGATGGAGACTCACAGAAATACTGATTTTGTTAAAATAAAAATGTTGTTTTAAAAATTTCTCTGTTGTTATTTTAATTATGAGACATGAAATAGAAATATTTCAAAATTCTATGATTTCCCCCCCAAACTTTTCAAAACTAAGAAGCCTGTTAATTAATCCTTATTGTCGATCTGATTTTCCTGCTTCTCTGCAAGCCTCATAATTTTTTAACTAGGTGCCAGATAGCACGCATTTTACCTTGTTGAGTGTTGTATGTTTTTGTATTCATGCAAATATTCTAGAACTTTGCTCTTGGACTAATAAAATAACATAGAAACAAGTTGATTTCCCTGGGTTTTGGTTTTAACATTTAAGAAGAAAGGAGCATGTGTACCGAGCTGTTTCACACTACTGAGGAAGTGTTCCAGTCTGGCTTTGGGGAATGAGTGTCACTTCTAACCCTATGATAGTGCCAGAGACTGTTCTTATTATTTTGGGTAGGGTTATTTGTTTTTTGTTGTTGTTGTTAATAACTCACATACATGTGTGATCAACTGGCCATGTATGGACAACCATGTAGACTATAGAGTTCTTTGTACAGAACTGTCTCATATTGCATTCTGAGAACCTAATTCACTTTGGTTTCATTGAACTTGAAATTCCCTTTCCAATTAAATTTACTTACATTGTTGTTGTTATGTGCCATGGAGTTAGAACCAACTCATAGCTGACCCTCCCAGTGAATTCAATGTGTGTAAATTGCATGGGAGGAGACTGCTTATCTTTCTCCTATGGAGCAGCTGATGGGTTCAGCTTCTGCCTTTGGGTTGGCAGCACAATTTCTCATCACTAAGTAACCAGAACTTCCTCTTATATAATACTTATATTTGTTACATATATAACACAGACACTTACTTAGCCATGCCTCAATGTAACATTCTTAGAATTTCTTTCTTCTTTTTGATAAGGGCCTTAATCCTCCGAACCACAGAGAACCATTCCATTTTTCTTGGGATGCCCCTCTGCCAGTTGTTACAAATGTTACTCTTTCACTGTGTAGTGAATGAATTCTATCTAAACTAACCAACTTCCAAGGGCTTCTGTCCAAGCAGAATCCTTACTATCATTTCCCCAGCTCTCCACTCTCACTACACTATCACTTTGGGAACCAGTAAAATTTCTGTTCTACTGTATTTCTCTAACTAGACGTATTTAATTAAAGTGTCATTGGGTATACAACTATATACAATGGCTTGCTCAAAATGACAAAATAAATTTAAAGTAAAAGTGTATACATTTGATTCATCTAGGGTTAATGCAAAGTTTCTCAATCTATATACACTGTTGACCTTCTGGACTAGATAATTTGCCACTGTGTTATAAAGAGAATTCTCCATATGCTGTGTACTGTAGGATGTTTAGCAGCATCCCCATCTCTACTTATTATGTGTTGCTGTCACTTTTGTGTATTTTCAAGCTGGAACCAAGTCACAGCTAATCCTTCAGCAGAATTTCAGAGGCTGTAAGTGCACAGGGGGAGACTGCATTTTTCTCCTGTGGAGCAGATGATGGCTTCAAACTGCCTGGCTTTGTGCTGGCAACACATCTCCTTATCCACTAGTTAACTACAGTTCACTACAGAACAGTAGTAACCAAACTTACCAACTGTGATAATTCTAATGTCTTCCCTAGTGGAAAAGTGGGATAATAAAAATTTTTACTCCAAGTACTGTTATTAATCAAATAAAGAGAAAAAGAGACTATTACTTTATTCTAATTTGCAAGACCTGTCAGGGTTACCTCTTGATCCACTAAACAGGTTAACTCTAATTACTTATTGTCTGTCATAACTACATATAGAAACAATGAAATAATTTTAACAACTAAGACCTCAATAATTTAATGATCCATTTTCTAATTACATTATGCAAAGATATTTTCTATTTATAAATAACCCCTTAATAATACATAATTCAGTAACTATTAACAGCTAATTACACTCAAATTACCAAAAGGCATAATAAACATTAATGAAAGAAGCAACAGAATTAATTCCAATACTCAGTTTTATTTCATACTATGATAATTTTAGAAATTTCTCCAAGCCTTCATTTTTTCTTTTGTTAAATATGATTTAGTATTTAGTTCAAATACACTGTTTTCCACACAAGATCCTTCCCAATTCCTTCAGGCCTCCACCCATTGAATTGTGCAACTCTATGATTAATACCCCACCCCTTGCCCATCCTCACCCCTCTGCTTTTACCTTATCCCCCTTGGATCATCATACTCATTCTACGTTAACAGTTCTATACCGTTTTTGTCCTTGTTAACTTATCATAATTGCACATCTTTTTTAAAAAGGATAATGCCAAAATTCATACTTAAGAACTAAACTTCTGTGTTTGGAGACATCCTTTTTCAGCTCCAACATATAATCCCCAAGAGTTATAATTTATTTATATTTAAATGGCTCATGAGAAGGAAATACACTGAATTGGTAGCTAAAGCAAAGAAAAGGTGAGAAAAGCAGAAAGTTTGTATCTTAGCAGTACCATTTTCCAAAGGAGTACAGGAGTATTTTATGTAAGTTTTGAGCAGACACACAGGGAAGGTGGAGGCAGTTACCTGAAGCATGAGCTCACAGTCATCACGCCCGACGAAAATCATTTCCCGGGGCAGCCTGTGGCGAGTGCCTCCACTGCTCACAAGAAACCAGGATGTTAAGCTCATTTTCTGCTTAGCTTCTAGGTCTTTGACAAAGCTACGTCATCCTGCAGAGAGATATGCAGAAAAATACACATTCAGATTATTTTTTAAACTTTCATCTCTAATAATCTAATTTCTAAAGGAGGCTTCAGAACAGATCTGCATCAACCCAACGTTTATACTGACTAAACAGACTATCCATGGGTCCCTGGTAATTATGCATCTATCCAATACTCATCAGTCCAAAGACCTCATTAGGAACACAATAAAAAAGAAACTCATTAAGTCAATTAAATAGGTATCTAACTAGTAAGCATTTGCCATACACCTATGTGGCCTTTAACATAATTTATAAAGTGTTTATGAGGCCCCTGGTGATGCAAATGGAAGTTCTTATTGTTGTTATGTGCTGTCAAGTCACTTGTGACTCATAGCAACTCTGAACCCTGCTTTATCTTGAGCCAATTTAGTCACTGATTCAATCCACCTCTTCTAAGGCTGGTGATTTAAACCACAGAATTAAGGCCTGGTGATTTACTTTAGAAAAGACTGCAGACAAGAACATCCTACAAAGCTGGTGTACTCTGTAACAATGAGCTGGTACTGATCTGACATGATCTGGTGCTAATCCAAAGGTCTGAACATACGAAGTGCCTCTGCAGGAGGTTGAGGCAGTCATACAGATTTGCTGTGGACCACATGGTCAGAAACACAAAAGACTGCCCATCCTTCTCCCTTGGAGCAGCTAGTAGATTTGAACCACATACCTTTGGGTTGCCAGCTCAACTCCTGAACACTAGGCAACCAGAAGTCCCTATCACATATATTTAAAAACTTGGAAACCTTATAGGGCAATTCTGTTCTGCCTTATAGGTTCATTATTGGTCAAAATCAACTTGACAGCAAGGGACATCTTTATGGAAGCAGACTAAATGGACTTCATTCCACAGTGCTGCTGTTGGGTTAGAATTGGCTCATAGCTGATTCTTCAGTGAGTATTTAGAGGCAGTAAATGGGAGAATACTGCCCATCTTTCTCCAAAGGAGCAGCTGGTAAATTTGAGCCACATTCCTTTGAATTGGCAGCACAGTTCCTTACTCCTACTCCTGGACAGTGCTTCTGGCTAAGTTTAAACTTTTAAATTTTAGGCTAATGGGCAAAAGAAAATAGTTTGTGCCACTGAAAACTCTTTAGCTAGAAAAGGGAAATATATTTTTATACTCTTTTAAAATAGTTATGGACCATTTATTTGACATTACACCAAAACTTCAGAAATGGCAGTTTCTTGAAGGTTGTTTGCACTATAAAATACGAAACTAATCCAATGAACAGTTCATATTCTATCACATGAATATCTCTTGGTTAATTGGACATTCTGAAAAAATTTTTTACATAAATATATTGGTCTTCGGATTCTCTGAGTTGGGTATATCTTCCAGATGTTTACACATTTCATCGTATTATTTTTAAAACCACCCATCTCATCCTTCCATCAGGCTCAGAGCAGCAGATGCATGTTTTCCAAAATTCAAACATTTTCTTGAAAGAACAAAATTCCATCAATACAAACATGTAAGTTCTCCTTGATGTGCCATATAACCAACACTGGATAAAACAAGTGGCTAATTCACCTCCCACTTACATAAGGATACATATACAGAGCTGTGAGACAACCTAAGTACTCAGGTGGTGGTGGTGGTTGTTATGTGTCATCAAGTCACTTGGGACTCATAGCAACCTTACGTACAACAGTCCTAAACCCTGCTCTGTCCAGTGCCAGTCTGTCTCCAACACACCCACCTCGATTACCCCAGTCACTGAATCAATCCATCTCACAGAGGGTCTTTCCCTCCTGCGCTGTCCCTCCACCCTCCCAAGCATAACATCCCTCTCCAAGGACTGGTCCCTCCTTGCAACATGTCCAGAGCATGTCAGATGAAGCTTCAGAATACTTGCCTCCAAGGAGCAACCCAGTTTAACCCTCTCTCGGATGAACCTGTTTGATTTCTAGCAGTCTATAGTACATTCAGTACTCTTCTCCAGCAACACAGCTCAAAGGCATCAATTCTCCTTCTATCCTCCCTAGTCATTGTCCAGCTCTCTGGTGCATAACAAGTGACTGCAAAGACCATGGCCTGTATCAGGTGCACCTCAGTTTCCAGAGTGACACCATTGTTCTTCAGGACTTTGGAGAGGTCCTTAACATCAGACTTTCCTATCCCAATACATCTTTTAAGTTCCTGGCTGCTGGTGCCAAGAGTGTTGACTGTGATACTTACCTCTAATCTATGGCACAGAATATTAACAAGGTGTGACTCAAGATTTTAAAAAAGAGTCATTTTCACTGCTTCACTAATGTTCTTCCATAAAACTGGTTAACTGCAACCTCATGTTGTTGTTGTTAGGTGCCGTCAAGTCAGTATACCTCACAACAACCCTAATCATTCTCACAGTTGTTGTTGTATTGGAAATCTCTGTTGCAGCCAGTGTGTCTATCATCTTATTGCTGTTGAGTGAAACCAACCCATAGCTGACCCTCCAGCAGGTTTTCTGATGCAGTAAATTGTATGGGAGGAGACTGCCCATCTTCCATGTGCTCTCTGACAGATTTGAACCAAGTGCCTTAGGTTTGGCTGTGCCACTCCTTACGTCTAAGCCACCAGAGCTCTGTTACTGTAAATCTTTTCTGCTGACCCTTTATTTTATCAAGCGTGATGTCTTTCTCCAGGAACTGGTTACTCCTGAGTTTTGTGAGAAGGCAGCTTGCCATCCTCACTAACTATACTTCTCATAAGACAGATCTGCTTGTTCTTCTTACAGGGTGTGTGTGTGTGTGTGTGTGTAAATCCACACTGTTTGCTAACTAACACCAAAACTGTTAAACAGATCAATTCTTTTTCAGTTTTCCTAATTCGCTGGTCAGTTTTCAAATGCTTATAAAGCACTTAAAAAGAACATAGCTAGGGGAAGGTGCATCTTAGTCCTCAAAATGAATGTTTATCTTCGCTCATTTTTTTAAATTTTATATTAGTTTGCATACAAATTTATAAATTCTGTGTTTACACATTTCTTCATTCACATTTTATTTCATACAATCATTCTTTCACATTGTGTTTTATAAAATTAATCATTACTGATCTATGCCTACCGTTATTCCATCCTTTCAGGTTCCCACTGGATCTTTCTCAATTTTTTCATCTCATCACTCAGTCTACCATATTCTGTGACCTTCTGTACACCAAATTCTGTTACCTTGTGATTTTCCCCTGCTCCCTCTCCTTTCCCTCTTTGGACCTTCACACACATTTTACTAGTTATCTTTCTATTTTGACAACAATCATCTTATGGAGTATTTATCCTTATGAGATTGAATTAGTTCAGTCGGCATAATGCTCTCAAAACTCTTCCACATTATGTAGTATCTTTCAAAACAGTTGCTCCTTAGTGCTGAATAGTATTCCATTGTGTGAATGTACCATAATTTCTCAGTTCATTTATTTGTTGTTAGATATTTGGGGGCTTTTTACATGTTCTTTAGATTTTATCATGTTCATGATAATATATATTATAAATAAGCAGCACTTTGGGTAGGTTCATGCAAATTAAGATGTTTAGAGTATCAATATGGGATTGGCCAGTTTAGCAATGGCTGGCCAGAAGTGGAAAAGAGCTGACTCACTACCATCAAGAAGAGGGAACCACAATGTAAAAAGAGCAAAGGCCACATGGGGGCAGCCATATCTGACCTTCAGCAATTCTACCAAAGGGAACTGTCCCCATAAACAACACAAAACCAATTTCCATGATGTCAGACATGCCCCGCCCCCATCTCTTTCACCAAACTTACTGCTTTACTGGGTCCAAAATCAATTGCAATAGTTCACAGAGCACACAGAACCATACTGTTGTTATTGTTATGTGCTATCAAGTCACTTGTGACCCATACTGGCCCTATGTACAGCAGCTCTGAAGCTTGCCCTGTCTTGAGCCAGTCTAATTCCCACACATCAACCCCCTTTGTCCCAGATAGTCTATCAATCCATCTCATCTAAGGTCTTCCTCTCCTTGCGCTGTCTCTCCCTTCTAAATATGATGCCCTTCTACAAGGACCACCGTTCTCTACTGGCCATGTGTCCAAAGTATGTGAGACAGAGCTCCTAAATCCTAGCCTCCAAGGAGACACTTGGTTTCACCCTCTCCAAAACAGACTTTTTTTCATTTCTTGGCAGTCCATGTTATGTTCAAGACTCTTCTCCAGCATTCCACCTTGAAGGCATGATTCTTCTTCTGTAATCCTTAGTCACTGTCCAGCTATCTGGTGCACAGCAAGTAATTACGAATACCATGGCCTGGATTATACACATCTTAGTTTCTAGAGTAACATTGATGCATTTCAATACTCTGGAGAGGTCCATGACAGAAGATTTTCCCAATACAATTTGTCTTCTGATTTCCTGACTGCTGGTACCAAGAGGGTTGATTGTGGAGCCAAGCAAGCTGGAATTGTTAACAACCTCAATCTCTTTTCCATCTATCATGGTGCTGCCAATTAGCTCAATGGTGAGAATCCTTGTCTTCTTGATGTTGAGATTCAATCCATGTTGAAGACTACAGTCCTTGACCTTCTGCAGCAAGTGTTTCAGGTCTTCTTCAGTTTCAGCAAGCAAGGTTATGTCATCTGTGTAACATAAGTTGTTGAGTCTTCTTCCAATCCTGATGCCACATTCCTCCTCATAAAGCCCTGCTTTCCAAATGATCTGTTCTGCATATTGATTGAAAAAGATATGGCAACAGGATGCATCCACGACGCCTTCCTTTTCTGATTTTGAACTATGAAGTGTTTCCTTGCTCTGTTCTAACAACTGTTTCCTAGACCAAGTATAGGTTTCACACAAACACAATCAAGTGCTCTGGGATTCGCACTTCCTCAAGGCAGCCACAATTCGTTGTGATCCATACAGTCAAATGCCTTTTCCTAGTCAATGAAACACAGATAGATATTCCTCTGGTACTCTTTGCTTTCT